GTATCACTATTCTATTCAAACCATTTGAATATACTCCATGAATATAAAGTAATTGTAAACTTTGAAAAGTCCAATGTTAAGTACATACTTAATGGTGTCATAAGAAACTACTATGAACTGTATCACTATTCTATTCAAACCATTTGAATATACTCCATGAATATAAAGTAATTGTAAAGTTTGAAAAGTCCAATGTTAAGTACATACTTAATGGTGTCATAAGAAACTACTATGAACTGTATCACTATTCTATTCAAACCATTTGAATATACTCCATGAATATAAAGTAATTGTAAAGTTTGAAAAGTCCAATGTTAAGTACATACTTAATGGTGTCATAAGAAACTACTATGAACTGTATCACTATTCTATTCAAACCATTTGAATATATTCAATGAATATAAAGTAATTGTAAAGTTTGAAAAGTCCAATGTTAAGTACATACTTAATGGTGTCATAAGAAACTACTATGAACTGTATCACTATTCTATTCAAACCATTTGAATATATTCAATGAATATAAAGTAATTGTAGAGGATCTTCCATAAATACAAAAACTGGCATTTTTTATGACCTACATATCAAACACAGTGTTGTGCATGAGCTAAATTACTCCAATAACTTTAAACTATTAATAACATACAGTTTGCCATGTGGGTTATTTTGGTTGCATGACACACTATGTGTATCTTGATTGTTTTAGACAAGCTAGAATGAAATTATTTGTGGAGATCTGAAAAGGAAGAGATTAAAATCATATGAAAATGTTTGTTTTAGAAACTCAGGAAATTATTTTGATTTGAGCAGCAATGTTTATAAAGGAAAGAAATATTTCAGTTGCAACAAGTTTTGTTGGCTTTCATTAACTGGAACAACCAAGATTTGCTGTTCTAGTTGTAATACATATACACTAATGTAGATTTTGCTAATACACTATTTTCTATGTTTTTTAAGAGAAAGATATATAAACTTGTTCTTGTAAACTGTAATATATTTAATCTGTTAATTAATGTTTAGATAATAATTGTAATAATGATTACACAAAAATATTTAAAAAATATATTCATTACATATACTAAAAAGCTGTTTCTAGAACAAGACTATCCATGGTTTAACACCTGTGACATGCATATTGGTCTAGTCAAACAATTATCACACCTCATTATCACGTACATGTAGATCAATTGTGAAAAGACTTCACCCTGGTTGAGAAATCTGTTCAGATAACAAAATTTACATTTATGTATTTAATAGTATTTTAAATTAAAGTAAATCCAAAAGAATTTTATGTAAGTGTCAGTAATCACACGAGCCCAACAGTTCAGGTTCCTGAGAAACATATTGCAGGTAAGAGAAAATCCATATAGGTGTTAAGGATTTTAGGAGTTGTTCATAGATACAAGTATAAGTATCTTATATCGAGATAAGTGTTTATACTGTAGGTAGTGTAACATTTCAAGTTTCTATGATAAACTGTCATCTTGGGGGTAATGAACATAAGTTTTATGAAATTTATTAACAGATTAATATAATGGTTTATGAATTATAATTGTGTTTCGTCTTATATGAGAATGTCAACAGTGGTTAGAATGTTTACTTTCATTTTTCCTGTTAGTTCTCATAACATGTATTATTGGGCATGAAAGTTTGGTATTATTTTTGCACATCTAAAGTTGATGATGCTTAAAAACATTTGTTTTATTAAAAATGTGTAATATCTTAATCGATATTTCTAAAATCAAATTATTTGGATTATTATTGTTCCAAAATTTTGCACAGACTATGTTTTGTCTTAACCCGCATTAGACATTTTTGGTAAAAGATAAGCAAAAATGTAATTTTATTGCTCTATACCTAACCAGCCTACTGGAAACAAGTTAACATTTCAAGATGTTATATTAAATGTTGCAACACATGTTAGCCTAATGAAAACTGACTTGTGAAGACATGGACTGAATATTCCCAATGCTGTCTGCAGGGGCACAGACTACTATTATGAGTCAGGCATGTGCTGAGAGGTGCAGTATAATAAGATTAGTGGATGGTCGGTGGGCAGGTGTAGCCAAAGGAGTAGGGACACAGAAGATTATTGGTCGAATTCATCTGGGTAAGTAGTGTTAAAAACAATTATATTAGTTCTTGAATTTTTAAATTTAGGTTGAAGGGAATAATTTAAACTGAGGTTTTACAGTTTCTAAGTGAATACTCAAAGTAAATAAATATTATAACTTCTTCTCCCCAGATTGAAATACATTGTTGCTAGTTAAAAGTAGTCTGTATTATAACTTAAGCTTGAGTTATATATGTGTTATAAACAACTAATTTTTGTTTGTTACATCTTAAGTCTTGCCTTGAATCTTCTGAGACATTTACAAGTAATAGTTTTGTACTACTGGCAGTTGTGGTAGTGGAACATTCCACTTTCTCTAGCTCGGGCTACGGTAATACAAACTATCCCATATTTTCAGTGTATATGCTCTAGTGGACCCTTACTTCACAAATCAAATTTCATTAAGAAACACACGAGATAAAAAACCTCCAATTCTATTGAATTTCTTCCCATCTTTTTTCTTTGCACCAAAAATTTATTTCATAGCAAATATACTTAACTTTGATAGATTTTCTTCAAATTTGGTACACTGATAGATGTTTATAACCTAAAATTAGGTATCATATTTTGTGTCAAATAAGCTACATGTGCAAAGTTATTCAAGAAAGACAGCTCAAGTTGAAACAAAATTTTGTGCATGTGCATGTAAAAAGTCGCATAAACTATTAGTCTGAAATGTTTACCACAGTTTGATCTATGATTAAAAGTGGAATGTTTTCAGTTTCTTGTCATTCTGATTACAGACAGCTGTTTTTAAAAAGGAAAAACTACCACCATGTATTTTAAAGAATCTGGTTGGTCCTGTTAAGTATAGGTCTGTTCCACATAATATGGTTGCGAGCCTAAAGCTAATGTTAGTCACTATCAAGTTTCACTTTCTAATTTGCTGTGGTTTGTCTTGATGAACTAATCAAAAACACATTAGGTGTGAAAAAAAGGTGCGGCTAAATAAATAGTAAAAGTGCAATTTAAAGGAAAGAAATCAAAATTGGCAGCCAAACTGGTAGCTACACTTATACCATTTATAATAATTTTACAGAAATATTCATTTATTAGAAATACTTTTCTTTGTCTCAAAAATCTCAAATTTCATTTGTGTAACTTTTATAACCTCCTAAATAAATATAAAACTTTTTTCAGTAAAACTTTATATTTCATGTTACTTTCTCTATCTTATCTCTATAGAGGTTTGGTCGATTTGACCAATCTCTATTGGTTTATATTTCCAAAGATTGTTCTATGATCTTATACTTTAGGCACCAAAAAAATGCTTGACACCCTGTATTCAGGATCCCAAAATTAAATCATCATGAAAGCTTGCTGTGGTTAGCTTTACTGTCATACATGTAGAATATTAATCACAAAATAGTAACAATTTAAGATTAATTTGGACTGATAAAATTTATGTTCATTATGTTAGTAACTGTTAAAAAAGTACCATCTTTCAAAGAGCATTACTTTAATGTGTTATAATTTTCTGCTTATGAACTATGTAGTCATTGTACCAATTGTTTGTTACTTTTTGACATTAACAGACAACAGAATATAGATTCTAACATGGAAGCAGCTATGGAGTATCATCCAGAGAGTTTTGGGCAGGTAGTTATGTTGTATATCAACTGTAAGGTGAATGGTCATCCAGTGAGAGCCTTTATAGACTCAGGTGTGTACATTGATAAATATTCTTTCTAACAAATAAAATCAGTTAGTATTAATTTTTTTTTTACTTTAAATCTTTTGTACCTGGAAGCACAGTTCTAGTAGTTACTCATCCTACAATAAAATATTCATTATTAAATTGCTATACAACAGCATTAGAATTCAACATACAATGAACTTTAAAATTAAAATTATTTTATCTTAAGCATAAAATAAAGTAAATGATGTTATTTCTAAACAGTTATGACTCATGTAAAAAGATTTTTTTTAAATAAGTTTATAAATTGTGTCTAAAATTTATATTCATGCCATGATTGTATTCAAAAGGATATAAAAGGGAAATCTGAATCACTCATATTTTTTTAACCTTTGACAGAACAATCTTATACAGTACGTTAAACAATTTATATCTCACAGACAAATTTTATAGTGTATTATACAAACTTCCATTTAAAAGATTCAACATGTACTTAGCAGCAAGTGTCATGTATTCAACTTTAACATATGAAAACTGAGACATCAGCAAAGATAATTTAGTACACATATTTTTATTTGTTTGTAAACATACGTTTTAGAAAATCAGATTACATAAACAAAAATACCTTTGGTGTGGAAAAAAAAAGGTGCTAAAAAAAAGGATTGAGCATGTAATATAACCCTTTTGGTACGGGTAGGGGTCAGAGGGCATGTCATCATGTTTGTAGACTTGTATTCAAAATTTTATTGATCTAATATTTTATGAATATATGAAAATAAATTTGGTATCAATTTGTAGATTATAATTCAAATTTTAATATTATATATTAGTTAATTTTTGATTTAAGAGTTAATATTAAGACAAATTCCTAAATATCAATTTTTGTGTGTCATGTGGTATGTTGAATGCAGCATTGGTCCAAATTAGATGTTTCTGATGTCCAAATACTAAGTCTATAGTTTCATATGAATTAGATACTCAAATTACCAATATTGACAAGCTAGAATATAAAACAAGAACCTCCTGTCCTTAGTATTTTCTGAGATATTGTTATATTTAGTGAATCAAACAAGTTGGCCCTGCCCACCTCTTCCATCTTTGGAAATGCTTGTTTACATACATCTACTTTGCTCCATGATATGTTTATAATCAATCCAAAGCTTACAGTTTCTCCTACTTGGTTTTCTCAGCCTTTTCACCATAAAACCCATCTTTTTTGGTGTAGACTTGTAGAGAAAGGGTAAGATGAAATGATACTGGAAAAAAGATTATTTTTTTAGACCTAAATTAGAATGGAATTCTGTGCTATTGATATATTAATTTTTAATTTTTTTTGTTATTTCAAAATGTGTATATATATAAACCTAAAAAAATATATTTTGTTTTACGTACTCCATGTGCTGAAATCGACAAGGCTTAGCAGATTATGAAAAGTGTGTACACATTTTGGAAGAATAAGAGATCATTGTTTTCTATATTTCTTTGTTTAATGGTCTATGTTTTGAGAAGTATAACTGAAATTTAAAAAATTATTTGTAAATAGTAATAATATATAATGTATTACAACTGAAATGTGATTGTATTCTACAAAATACTGGTCCACTAGAACAAAGCTAAGACTTTTGCTCTTTGTAAAGGCCAGTTCTGTACTACTGAATATGGTAACATAAAGCTGCACGTGCCTGCGTACAATTTCTGTAACAGTCAGGCATGGCTGAATCTTCAATATAATAGAAATGATAGGTATATATATGGATGTATAATTTTATGAGATTTAAGGTGTTTAGAATGAACATTTCTGGTTTTGTGTTATGATTTGTAGTCATTCTAGAAGGAAAAAAAGCATAATTTAGATCTATTTCCTAATTTTTTATGGTGGTTACCCTTCAGAGAGGCAGTAGTCTGCAAGATTGATAATGTGCTTTTTAGAGTCACTCAACGAACCACCAAAATGTTTCTTAATAAGAATGTTTATGTTACGATCGTATTTTGTTTTTTCTGGTTTTCCATCCATTCATCAATTTTGGAATTGTAGTGGCACAAGGGAATCATGTCGAAAAATGAAAGAAATTTTATAATTTTTGACCACAGATTGCGATAATGAACTTTTACTTTAGAATATTGTTTTTGGTTTTCTGGAAGAAGAATTTGTACTTGGACATGGTCTAGAGTTTTGTGTACCTACTAACAATATCCAGAGAGAGAAGATCTGTGCAAGAACTCAGTTAACAGATGTTTCCGCACATAAAAGCTATCTTCATGATTAATTTATCTTGAGATTAAATTTTTTTATTATTGTTTAGTTTTTGTTATATTAAGAGTTAAAAGCTGATGAATATAGGAAGTTATGTTTCTAAATCATTGATGCTGAGACTATCAACGTCGCTTGCAATACATCGACATTGAGAATACTGAGATTTCTAGAAGGCCATACAATAAAGTGATAAAGATATAGTGTGAGATGAGCAAAAACAGCAGACAGACAATAGTAGAAGAGAGTAAAGTTATGGGCAAGGAAAAGTTTGGTGTGAAGTTAACTACCGTAGAAGTGATAGGCCTAATGTTCAACATTTTAGAGTAAGACTAACAATAGAAAAGGAGATAAGAAGAAGAATTATTCTGTCAAAGCATGGTTCTAAAGTGATTGAGTTAGCCAGAGTGCACTTCACTTTGACAAAAGGAACAGAGGATCTTCAGAAGAAAGAAGACTAAATGATTACAGTAATTCATGCCACAACTGTAAGTGAATCACAGAGAATACTACTACTAGCACAATAGAAATAAAGAAGATAGTTCGACTTGTCAACTGAAATTCTAAAGTAATTGAATAGGCCTAAGTGGACTTTTGACAAGAAGAAGAGAAATATATACACAATATTTATGATATGCCTATAATCTTTATAGTGTGAAAAATTTGTTGTACATACATTTAACCTGTTCCGAATATATATATTATTTTGAAAACAACTGAAGTGAGTGCTGTTTATTCATTGCTGAATTTATTGCTAACAAGTCACAGACACCTACTGTTGAAGAATCCTAAGCCTAACCCAGTATATATTTACACTATTAAGAAGTATAAGTAAAAGTATTTTATTTTGACAGTTGGTGAAAAGAATAAGGCTGGACAAAAGATCTTAGTTCTGCTGCACACAGACCACAACAAATTC